CTAATATATTATAAGTATATATACTTTAAGTTTATATAGTATATATACTTAAAGTATACTATACTAGTATACTATAAGTATACTATATCATCTATTAAATACTCGAAAAGTATACTATACTAGTATATTATATCATCTATTAAATACTCGAAAAGTATACAATACTAGTATACTAGTATATTATAAGTATATATACTCAAAGTATATATAGTATATATATTTAAAGTATACTATACTAGTATACTATATCATCTATTAAATACTCGAAAAGTATACTATACTAGTATATTAAAAGTATACTATACGAGACGCGAGAGGATAAAAGAACTATAGAATTATCGTCAAATAAATTTCGTCTCTAATCTATCGCATGTTTGATATTTACATATCGACAATAATGGAATTTTAATATATGGTCATTCTAATTGTAACACGTTTCAAATTTGCATCCGTATATTTGTAGGAAATGAGTACACATATTGCGGATAATTAGAGATTGAAAGCCGTACATGATCGTATGTTACATGATTGCCGATTAAACAACATCGCGTCGTTGTATACAGTTCATTAAATGCAGCAAATTAATAATCGCGATTTAAAAGCAGTCCATTGTTCAACTAGCTGAATGAACTTTCATATGCGTTACAGCTTCTATTATTATTCGGGGGTATAGGCTTTATTTCTGCACTTTGAACCGCCTATGTAAAAAGGTTTTACGGCGCCTCGGTTATCAACTTGGTCGCTGCACTTCCGAAGAATCAGAATTTTTTAATTTATCCAGCCATTTTATCATCCGCTAAATCACCACGATACTCTCCCGACAGTATTTTTTTAAACAACAATAAAAGTGTCGATTCTGCCATGAAATAACGTCAGGTTTGCAAGGGAAAATTATTTAACCGTGTAAAAAATGGTATTATAAACTATGTACTTTTCGTAAATAATTATAATAAATTACATAGAAGCGAGCACAAAGCGAAACTTCCTTCCTCCAGTTTGTACATTATTACCGCGTAATAATGTACAAACGTTCTCCTCGCAATGCATTTTCTCCTCTCTCCTTGCTCTAATTTATTGAAGAACGAAGAATCGAAGACAAAGGAAGAATTCCCATCGGAACTGCAATTACGTAGCGACGCTCGCCAACGTAACGATAATAATTTCACGAGGGAAAGAGTGGCGCGCTTTCGAAAGCGAAAAAAAAAGATTGCCCGATAGAACACGTGGTTTCGCATAGGTCGTTGCAAGCACCACGTCCGGCTATTAATGAAATTTACGACAATCTTCATTTAATTACCTCGGCCCTCACGCACCAATATCGACAGGGTTTAACGATCATCCGCCCTTCCTTTTATCGGATTAACGCTGATAAGGCGTAACCGATGCAGATAGATCGATTCATGATTGGTCGGCCAACGGCTGCTAATTGCTGCAACTCTCGTTTGCCAAACAGGTCCCTGGTAAATATCGTTGACGCACCTTCGCTTTAGGTGTCATGATGTACACAGCGAATGATAACACTCGAATTACTCGCGAACTCGAATTTAATATTCTAGCATTTGTATACTCTTAGTAATAGTCAATATCCCATATTCGTAATTTTCTCACAAGACTTTAATAAACGAGGATCTTCCGAGATTTCTTTCACACAGAATCCATCATCATCCTCGATCGACTCGATACTTCTTTTCTTTTCCCCTCCCTTCTTTCCTTCTTTCTCAACGAAAAAAAAAAAAAAAAAAGAAAGAAAGAAAGAAAAAGTTCGATTTAACGAGCGCGTCAAACACGGGGAATATAATATCAAGCAGCTTGCACTCGGTCTCACACTTTTTTTCTGGGTCACGGTTCCTTGATCGCTGTCGCGTTATAAATGGGGAAACATTGCGTGGCAACTTCCGACGAAATGCCCCTTGCCGATATTTTATTTTTGGGCAAACTGTTTCACACTATCCGCACAACTGTCACCATCCGCCGAGCCATGAATTATAGTCTCCGACCGGAAACTGCGAAACTTCTCCCACGCATTCTCGTCGAGTAACTTTCAACGACGAGCAAGACGTACAGGTGGCGATGTACGTATATACAGGGTATATGTCACTTGAACAAAATAATCCGACAGAACTTCAGGAAGTCAGTCGTTGGCCGTAACATTCCGAAGCGTTCAACTTGCGCTTGAATTTCGTGAAAATCATCGTTTCTCAGTCTCTCGAGGGAGGAGAACTGCTTGCGTTAGCAAGAGGCTAGTTAAAAATGTATTAGCAGGCACGATCGTTGCCGGGATCAGTGGGATAAAAAAGATTTACAAAACGTAACAGCACACGTGCTGAAAGGCGATATCAAAGTGGTAAGAAAAGTCGGGAGAAGAACTGATTGTTAGAGTAAATTCGTTTAACACTTCACTAAAAAAGTACTTTGATACTCTCTGTCGCTTACACGATCGTCTCTCTTGCTCTCATCTACTTCGAAACTTTCGGTTTCATTTGGCACGATAACGCGGCGAAAATCGCAACGTGTTCCTGTCACATTTTTCCTTTCAAGTCAAATTCCAAGAAGCTGCTTCTCTCGATCGAGAAGAGACAAAGAGAGAGAGAGAGAGAGAGAGAGACGCGTACGCGAAGTATTTTGAGAAAACTGCGAGACGCAACCGGCGGTGGATGCGGCACGACTGTGCTGATCGCAGAAACACAGTCGAAGAAATATCGCCGTTCGAGTTTACCTGAGACAGGGATGCTGGACTGTTCGTAGAAGGGGTGCAAGAGGCATCTAGCACCCCTTCGTGGAATTCTGCGGGCTGTTCTATCGATCTGTCTTCCCTCGGCCGTTAAAATCGGCGCACGATTGTACCTTCACACAGTAATTCTCTCCGATACTTTCTACAGAATCGAAATGAAAGCCATCGAAATTTTGTCAAAAGTAAAATTGTACGAATTTCTTCGGCCATACAAGTGAAAGATATAACCAGAATTATTTTCATTCGGCGATTTATTCGAAAATTGTACACGTCAAAATTTCAACCAATTCTTGCAGTGAATGTAACGTACAATTAATCCTTGCTAATCGTTGCTGAATTTTTACAGAAATCACAAAAATGACATTTTTCACTCAGCCAAGAATTTGTTCTCAAGATTTGTCGCTTACTGTTAAGTTTGGGTACTGATGTTGCAACAATCGATAAACAACGCATGACACAAACGAAATATTTACAAGACCATTTTCCGCTATTTATAATCAACAATTGACTAGCTTGAAAAGCAAGAAAATTACACCACACGTAAAATTATTCGAATTTTTTCAATAATCTGACATTCGACTTGAAAATAATACCAATTTTTATTGCAATTATTATTTGCGACTATTATTAGATCATTCGAAGAAGAATTGCAAAACTTTGTCCGCATATATTGGAATTTTATGGCAATCCACACAGAGACGCCTACAGTTTCGCAGCAACGATCGACTGGTTGTTAAACGTGCCTAAAATAGTTTGGTTAATTAAGCAAAGTCTAGTTTCCAAACGACGTGCCACGAACGCCAATTCCACGATAATTAAACGGCGTATAAGAAGTTATTTAAAATATATTTCCGCTACACGAACAAACAGAGTCAGCTTTAGTCGCTTCTTCTCTCAATTAGAAAAATTATTCGTATAGGATAGAAGGAAATAAGACGAAATAAAATTAAAGCAAAGACACAAAGTATATAACGCGTGACAAATCACAAGAATTTATTTCTATGTAATTTATTAGTAATAATTATTATATAATATCATAATATTAGTAAACATTTCTACTTCACATGGTGTGAATATTGCTGTAAGCAGTGATTATTCAGGGAAGAAGCTTAATAATATGTGCTAAAAGTTTACAAGATCCTCCAAGGATTTAATGGGATCTTCCACTAACTTTGTCTATAATCGCTTGAGTCAGATATCTTCCAGCAAGATCCTTCGCTATATTGGTCAACTGATCACCAAAATTAGGCTTTCTAGTAGTAGGACCAGCAGGGTAATATCCTTGCTGATATCCTGGCGGGTAGCCTTGCTGATATCCCTGTGGATATCCCTGAGGATAGTTCCCTTGGGACGGATATCCCTGTGGGTAACCCTGAGAGTATCCAGGATAGTAGTTACCATATGGGCTCGACTGGCCAGGATACCCAGATTGCGAGGGATAGCCAGAATTCTGAGACGGATAGTTGCTTCGGCTAGCCTGACCCTGGCTAGGATATCCAGAATTCTGAGACGGATAACTGCTTCTGGTATCTTGACCCTGGCTAGGATATCCAGAGTTCTGAGACGGATAACTGCTTCTTGTATCTTGACCCTGGCTAGGATATCCAGGATATGCGGCGTTTACCGAGCTGGCAGCGACTCTTTTCACGCTCTCCTCGTTCGTGGTGGAGCTACTGGTGGGATAACCACCGGAGCTTGAAGGATACGAGCCACTAGGATAACCGCCTGATCCTGACGGATAAGCAGAACTGCTTCTCGACGGGTAACCGGGATAAGACGAGCTTCCAGACTCCGACGGATATCCCGAACTTCTTGACGGATAAGCCGACGAGCCGGTTCTGGAAGGATAGCCGGAACTGGCAGGATAACCCGACGAACCACTGGATGGGTAACCAGAGTTCGAGGGATAACCAGAGCTAGACGGATAAGCCGGCGATCTGCTCGAGCCTTCGGGTTTTGGTTGGCTCTCCGAGGACGGGTAGGATGGATATCCCGACTGCGATCTCTTCGTCGACTGAACGTCGGGCGCAGATGAGTCCACTTCGCCGGCGCTTTCTCGTCTTCTCATGATTCTGTTGTCATCGGTATCGACCTCTGCGAACAGTTCGTTATCTACCTCCTAATTGATTAGAATTATTCTGTACCGACTCACGCTCACCCCCATGCCATGCCACGAGTCTGATCTGACTCAATTGTTATTCTGAGAGATTCTGCTGTTGCTGAAGCAGCAGCAGCAAGTGATCATTGCTGACAATTGTTCGAGCCAGATGTACTGTCTGTCTCGGTTTTAGTATGTTTAATTAAGCTACACGGCACGGTGTAAATGTATTTTTGATATCCTGCGTGTTTGTTACTTGCGCGACTGAATTGTTACATATCACGTCTCGATCGCATTCGTTTCCTGGTGGTACACTTTGAAAGCTGGCCTATGCAACGGCGTCACTCAATCATGCAATTTCGTACAATTTTCCATTCTTCCGTTTGTTAAACGTGTTAAAGTACCGACTGCAGTATATGCTGTTGCGATGAATGATTTATGTAGATGTTTCGATTCTCTGAATGCGTGCCCAGACAATGCAATTGTCGTTTGTTTTGTACGTTCGTTTCATTGGCAACTCGTTGCTGCAACGACGTATCGTCTTAGAAGGTAATCGCAGAATTGCTGAAATTAGGAACGCCCCTTAGTGCTGAAGAATTACGTATATTTATTACATCTGTTTGTTACAATGGACAAATATTTCAAACGCTTGATAAGTACATCTTAGTTCTTAATAAGTACATCCATTATATAAGTCACGCAGCCGTGACATGGCACTGTAATGAAAGAAACCGCAGTTATTCGCGATAAGACGCTCGTGAAACAGTAAATAATCAGCAGAATGAAACTAGTTCATCATTTATCAATCACTTGCGTCGTCAAATAAAAGATCGAGTACGATCGGAGGAATGCAATTCGAAAACAAGTGACTTCTCTGTCCTCTGACGTGTAATATCTCCCATGATTCTACGACGTTCTTCTCGCGAAATAACTGCAGCTTCCTGACACAGAAGACAACGTGTGACAACCAAAGTTTAAATCTAAACGTAAAAGGTGAGTCAAGTCGACAAGACCAGGTCCATTTAGCCGGAGAATCTCCAAATTCGATTTCCCTGATCATCGACAGAGGTGTGGCTATCGTAATAGCCACTAGCACCTTGGTGAGCGCGACTCCTAGGTGTAGTCGCGCCGTAACGATCATTGCCAAACAAACGGCTAAAGATAGAACCATTCCCGATGGTGTTTCTGGATCCCGAATTACCACTGACTCTTCCACCGTACCCGTTGAAAGAAGAAGACCTCGGTGGAGGGGTGGGTGGAGGGGTTGGTCTAATCTTTCCTGCCGTCCGTGTTGGATACACTGTCAGAGATTGAAGAGTGGTAGTCAAGAATACTGTATCGTATCTTAAGAGCCAACTAAATTTGACGAAGATCATATGTATATATAATACTAGGTTGTTGTTAGTTAGTATTAAGAGGAATTGTTATATATACATGCCAATGTTAAGATAAAGTCATCGATCCTTGAGCATGCATTTCGAGATTGTTAATTTTGTACTTCCACTCTTCAATTTTGGGAAACCAATCGACGAGATGAACAGTTTGATTAAAAACTAAACTCTGCAGTAATTTTATCGAAGCAAACGGCGGCAACTTGATTTTGTCGTCGAACGAGAGAGCGTAACAACGTAGGGGGAAAAGTCGTGCAAAAAAGAAAATACCGGCTGGGGAAAACGCTGGATAAAAGTAAAAGAACTGCGACCTACAATACTTGTACGTCGCCTCGCTGAGGCAGATAAGAGATGTCAGGGTTCGACGCGATAACGAGATCAGGTCGGCGTTCGCTACGTCTTCGAGAAACTAATTCTAAAGGAGTATTCCTCCCAAAACGAATAATGTAATGAAATGTAATGAGAACACAGATGACAGGTAGTAAATCCATGGATTTTGTAGAAATCGTATTGCTTTTATTACTAGTCGATAATTCGCACAATGGTGGTGGCTGTTTCGTACGCACGTTGACGCATAGAAACGAATTTTTGTACGTATTATAAATATACATCTATATATAGACAGGCATATGCTTCATTAACGTTTGATTTTAACGCTAGGAAAAATTACTTCTTTCGGACGGCAAATGTATCTGGTATCGTAACTCTGCGCGAAAATAAAACACGAAACATTCACGTGACGATGCACTGTTTGTTTAAAGGGAAGCTGATTATTTCTGTTTTGTCGATCAGCCGCGCGATATCAGGTACCAAGTTAACTGTGACTTGTCTCGCGATTAGCATTTGGTGAAAAATTGGTCAACTTAGGTGTCTGTAGATGACGATATCGTTTCTTAATTTAATCGCTGGAAGCATGCATTTTGTGAAATTCTGAAGTACGTGTAAAGAATGTACATCGAATGGAAGAGCCATTCCGCCTCGAACAGCCGGGATTTTAATCAGCGGAATGCGTTTTCAGCGTGTTCAACATGTTTAAAAATCTTATTATCTAAGAGAAATGTAATTGTATTTTCTGCTTTTTAGTTAATTATAACCACGTTACAAAAAAACAACCAACGCTGTGCTAAAAGACACTGTTTGGAAGGCACGCGACGGCGAGATTATCATACGACAATTATAGTAATTTGAAGAATAGACGTTTGTGAAGGTAACAAAGCACATACGTGTATATCTCTTTAAAAAAAAAAAAAAAAAAAACATTAAAATTCTTTCAAAGGAATCGATAGAATGTAACTTTTCCACGACCTATTGCCAGATCTTTCAGACTCAATAATTATCTTCAATAAGTGTAAAAAAATTAATTTATCATCAAGAAAGAGAGAGAGAAAGAGAGAGACAAAGTGAAAGAGCATACGTTGAACCAATCAACTTCAAGGTAAAAACTATCTTTATATAACGTTGACGCCAAAATTTTCCCTACAGCTACTGGAAGAAAGTAGTTGATGCTAGCTTTCACAATTTCTCTTCTCACGCAAGTGCATACATAAATATATATATATATATACAATTTCACTAAGATTTCTACATGCCGGTGTATCGATCAGGCGAAACAAACGTTTGCCGTCCAACGGATTCTACCATCATCGCCTCGTCGAGGCATTAACAGACACTTCGAATCCAATGTAAACGTAATCATGACGACCTGTTCGTAAATGCGACCGCCAGGCTCGCCACGATGATAACCATTAGAAACGGTGACTGCGCGACGGCGTTGTTCCTGCGATAACCAGAGTAAACGTTATTGTGATACATGCGATTCTGGTTGGGATAATTCGCGTAAGGATAACTCTGGTATCCGGGATGTTGTTGAGGATATCCCGGAGGTGGGGCTGGATAACCAGGCTGTCCCGAGTAGGGATAGCTCGGTTGGCCAGGTTGTTGTCCAGCATACGGGGGATAGTTGGCTTGCCCGGGCATTGGCATCCTGTTCTGCGTTGGATACGGTGGATATCCCAGGTCCTGTTGCCGATTTCCTTGGTTCGTCGAAGGATAAGGCGGATACCCGTTGTTCGAGCCACCTCTGTTAGAACCACTGTTACTTGGATACGCTGGATAGCCCAAATTGCCGCCGGAAATCACTTCACGATGATATCCACCGGCCGGCTCGACAGGAGCTGGCGGTGCATTGGCATTCGCGTAAGGATTCGAATTACTAGCGCTGTTGCTGCTTTTATCGCGACTCTCGCCGGCGTTGACTGGCTGCCCATTTACCGAAGAAACGCCCGCTGACTCGTACCCTGAAACGATCGTCCTCTTCTACGTCGTATTTCTACGTCTCTGGGGTACGATCCCTCGATCGTGATCGAGGGACTTCAAACGGCGGGGCAGAAAATCAGAAAGGAAGGAAGGAGGGCAGGGAGGGAGTCACACAGCATCAACCAATATAGGGAGGAACACACTCTACGTGTACGCATTCCGATTAAAAAACTGAAACCTTCCGCTAGGAAAATTGGAGGATTTTTAGTGAGACTAGTTTAATGGAGTTAGTCGAGCGAACGTGCTAGAGAATAGAGATATAGAGAATTCTGGAAATCGTGCTGTTATTTTCATCCCTGCTGTTGTACGTATGCAAAAATGCAATTTTCCAAAAGCGTTAGAAACAGCCATGCTGCGAGCTGGGGTTGTCCTGCGTCGAAAATATCGTAGAAACAGTTGGAAATTCGTCTCGTAACGTCCCTTCTCACAAATAATCCAATTCGTAATATCCCCATCATAAATAATCCAAATTGTAATGTTCGTGCAGGTAGCGAAACGTTAAGCGTGATTATGCAATTAATAGTTTCGGATATTATCGCGTTTCTCCAGGAGCGAGAGAGCTTCGACGCAATGGAGCATTAAAGCCCAAGTCAATTTCTCTTGCAACTGGAGCGATACAGTTTATTCTTCCACATCGACGGGACGTTAAAAGTTTGTACGTTCGAGAACAATTTCTTCAAAATTCTATGACGCCAGGTGAGCGTATATATACGCGTGTCTACACGTTTGTGTGCGGGAAGAGACGATGATGGAAAGGTCGTGTACGAAAAAGTTAAGAAGAGAGAAAAAAAAAAAAATCTGTCGTTTTTCACTCGTTGCCACCGTATTGGAAAAATTATGGAGATTCTATCATCTTTTCCCTTGGATGTAACATCTAATGACGACGAAAAAATTTATTTTATCGTGCTGCAAATAATATTGTAATACTCCACAGTTTAAAGATAGACATGTCACTTTGCTTTGCACTAAATTCTTTTAAGAAACAGTAGTATTAAAAAATATACATATATACACCGCGGATCAACTCAATAACGCGGCGAATCATACGAAACGTCACGTATGATATTCAATACTAAAACGACCGGAAGTTTTAATGAATCGAACAAGCGTCACTAAAATTCCCACTCGAAACGATTCACGGACGTATATGTGTACGTACGTGTACATTAATAAAGAACGTATTACGCATAAATCAGGTTCATCCCTTATTTATCTGTACACACGGGATCCAAGTGAAAAATTGAATGGCAAATTATTCGATACCATCAAACGTATTAAACTCGACGGGATGTTCCCGTCAATTAATGAATTGGAAAAATTGCGGTCGAAAAAAAAAACAACTTCATCGCGGAGATACATTTGCAGAAGTGCGGAAAGTATAAACAATAGGGCAGAGAGGCTGTTACGAAGCTTTATTTTTGCGCAGAGAGGATTACAACATGGCTAAAAGATCCATTAGCAAATATCCAATGAATTTATTTCACAAAACTCGCATGTGATGGTTGTCGTGCCGTGAATAAAGTTTTCCTTTTTAATTAACACATTTCCAACATTGACAACTCATTAAGATCACGCGCAACAATTTTAGCCATTTGCAATCGTAGCCCCCTCTCGCTTGTGCGATACAATTCCACGCGTTTTGTTTGCCGTGGCCCTGGCATGCGTTTAAGTATCCATGCTAGTATCCAGCCAGCGTGCACGCATAATCAATCACACGTAACAACGACGAACAAAAGATGGGATTATAAACTCACCAATTGCCGTTGATTTCTTCACGCACGTCGGCGCGCCATTTTCAGTTTTGCAGTATTCATTTTCGCTGCATACGGTGCTTTCGCAACTAGCCCCTGCATACAAAACGGATGAAATATATTTACATTGAATTTCCCTTGATCCATGATATCGAATAAAAACAAAAACAACGATCCAAACGATGGATATTATTTATCTCGAAAGAAAAGCAACGAAACATTCCGGATTCATCGGGTATATACGTTTCAAAGACGATAGTATTCATAGGCAAACGAGACTGACTATAACTGGTACAAGTTATGCGTACATGTAATTGACGACATTATTTCGTAATATAATAATAACTCGTCGTTGAGCACGATTTAAACCGCAGTAGTAATAATTTACTTTGACTCTACTGAAACTATGTTGAAGTATTAATAAATCGTAAAACAAACAATTCCGCGTATAGTTGGTAGATAAGTTGTAACTCACGCACAATGGATTAAAATTTAATAAGCTCGTAATTGATCGAAGAGTAATGGAGCTGTCGATAATTTATGCTTTCGTAACCGGTTCACACATATTCTAATTCAAGACATAATAGGCTACAATTGATTAATAACACATTTCAAACACGTTTCGAATGTATTAATATCGCGGCAATGCGATATTACATTCTAAATTCTGTTCAGTCGCGTAACAATTCGATGTAATTGCACGATACGGTTACGTGTATCATCGGCAGCAGGATATTATATTTAGTCGCCATGCGAAAATCTCATTAAAATGGAATTCATTTGGCAAGATTTTAATCGCGAATTAAAATCACCGACAAATTCAATTTAGATAACGTTAACGAGAACAGAAGTCATCATCGGCCAGGATTCAATCACGCTGGCGCGCGTGAAAGGGGGATCTTGTTCCTATTTCCGCTTTCCATGTCCCGCGTATCCATCATCCGGCTAACTATATTTATGGAAAGGTCAACAGCATTCTTACCGCCTGGATGAGCTTTTGCACAGGTCGGATAACGACCACAGTTATCTCGTTGGTAGATTGAACAGGGATCCTCGGCCATCACGCAGACCTCGTCCCTTCTGCAGCCGATGTCCTTGCATGTTCTTCCATACTCTGCGAACCAGGGGGTCACCGTGAGTTTTCGTTTAGTGGCAAAAGTTCGAGTAATATGCCATGATTGCCCGCGATTGGATACGGCTCATTAAAAGTTCGCTTTAAGCAAGCAGCAAGTGTAATAAATGGAATTTATATCCGAGATATACTTTGATACTCATCTGATCAAACGGCTCATTCGAAAGCTTTAATTTCCACAGGCGCGACGAGTCTACGCGCAAACGACGTACGACCGAGAAATCACACTGTTATTATTATATATTTTTATATCGAGCTGCCAGCGAAGCATATTTCCGGAACTTTTCCACGTCATCTATTTCTAAGACGGAGCTTCGAAACTGATCTTTGTCCGTATAATCGTCGTTTACGTTATATCGGTGACCCGTGAAAAAAACGAAGAAACTTCAACGTTCATCAACACAACGCGTAATTATGTAACTACATATTTATCACAGACAGGGTCTATCTGATTGAAACTGAAAGCAAAGTGCTACTCTTCAGACTGTTTTACACTGATACGTTGCTGGTGACGTTGATGTAGTTGCCTCGCACGGATAACTGTTAAAACTTGCTTTAAGAACACACGCGCTTATACCGGGCGCAATGTAACGTAGGAACTATTAAAGGGAGTAAGTATATTTACATTCAAGTGACTTTAACTCAATATCTCTCGGCCTGCGCCAAGTTCCACTAAAACTACTTCGGACAGAAACTAAGCAAGCTGAGTAGCTTAGGCCTGAAACCTGATGTTCAGTAACTAAAGTTGATAAATAACCAAACACCTATATTCGCATATGTCGATCGCAATTGATAATGACATATGCATTTGCGTTATTGGATGTTGTTTGCAATTGCGTTGTGTTTGCAATACAAATCGATATTATCCGTTCGACTAGATTGTCGAGCTAAGCAAATAAATGGCCGATCAACGCTTAAAAAAATTCATCTATAAAATGTCGATGCCTTTCGTCGATGGATGATCCGACAAATTTTCAAATCCTCCGAGTGCACGAGCGCCGTTTTCGATTTGACTTCTGTCGGAAGGGGAGGGAGAAAAAAACTGGCGTTTCCGTATTTGGTAAATACGGGAATTAGAGGGGAAGTTCCCTGCAGCGAAAATATAACTTTCCAGCGCACATTTGCCTGACGTTATCCAATCCAAAGCCTCGCATTGGCGTAACGCTGCTAATCGTAATTCTATTCAAGCACCACAGCGTCATCCCCCATATAACCCCATCGATTCTCAATTATCCCAGCAGCGAGGGAAAGAGGATGGAAAAGGAGAAGAGAGGGAAAGCGAGGCAGCTGCCGAGTTAACGCCCAGTTTCGTGTTATCCAGCTTTGCCTACGTGTTGGGGTGGGAATAAAAGGGTGCGCGCTGCTCGAAAAGGAATATTAAAACTAGGCTAATGATTCTCCCTCTAATTGTCCTTAAACGTTCATCATATCCGAGAATAAACGGAAGGACGAAAGAATCGTGAAAACAATGAGGGCTATTATACACGCTGTGAAACGATTCTGAAATTCTCTCTCTCTCTCTTTCTCTCTCTCTCTCTCTCTATATATATATATATCTTACGTGATAAGACGAACAATTGTTATCACAGGAAGAATCGATTTTGAGCCAGCTAGTAAAATGATTCCCAAGCGATGTTGTGTGATAATTGCGATTATGAAAAGAGATACGTCGAAAGAGATGACTATCGAATGGACTTTCCGTGGAGATCGATTTGGTCAAACGCATTGAAAAACCCTGATCAAATAATGACGATACGTTGACAACATATTTTTGACGACATTTGATGTATAATATTAACTGAATCAAGTTTAATAAAAAAAAAAAAAAAAAGTTTTAATCTCAATACATTTTTAAGCCATTTGAGAATACTTCACGATAATTACAATTCATTTTACACTGACATTTTTGTAGAAAAATTAAGAAACAAGCTCTGGAAGAATATAGGAATCGCTTCGACCAAGTATGTCCTTACAAAAAATTAAGCTTTTTTAACTTTGGGAGACAAAGTTTTTCCACTTTTGAAAATTAATGGAAAATATTCCCATTAATTCCCCTATTCCATTGCTATAAGTATCTAAGTTTCAGAGTACTAAGTATCTAGTACTAAGTACTAAGTACTAAGAACTAAGTACTAAGTATTTAGTACTAAGTATCTAGTACTAAGTATCTTATACTAAGTACTAAGTATTTAGTACTAAGTATCTTATACTAAGTACTAAGTATCTAGTACTAAGTATCTTGTACTAGGTGTTTAGTACTAAGTATCTAGTACTAAGTATCTTAGTACTAAGTACTAAGAACTAAATACTAAGTACTAAGTACTAATTACTAAGTATCTAGTACTAAGTACTTAGTACTGGTTATCTAATACTAAGTATTTGGTGCTAAGTATCTAGTGCTTCCCCTATTCCATTGCTATAAGTATCTAAGTTTCTAAGTATCTAAGTTTCAGAGTACTAAGTACTAAGTATCTAGTACCAAGTAGTAAGTACTAAGTATCTAGTACTAAGTACTTAGTACTGATTATCTAGTACTAAGTATCTAGTACTAAGTATCTAAGTTTCAAATTCTAAACTATTTGATAAAAGAGTTGATATAGCGACAGTAATTAACGAGATATTTTTGTTAATTCTCTGACAAATTCTCTGGGAAATAAACGAATAAAATCTAGGAAAAGATGTTTGTTCATGGCTTCTAACAAGCGTTGATTGATTACGTAAAGTCTCAAATAGAAGATTATTCCCACAAACAAGAGTTGTGAAATATTCCCGAGACGCACATAGAATTTTCTTGTTGACAAACCTAATCTAATTCAATTCGGAGAAGTTTAAGTTTAAGGATTAGAACAGGAATAGAACCAAATATAAGATATAAACGATTATAAATAATGAAGTCTAGGATCGAATGCAGTTCCCATTAAATCTCTTAGCTCCTTTCCTCTCCTTTATTTAACAAGATTAGGAAACGGAAAAGGACAAAGTCGACGATTACGGCGAAGGTCGATGTAATTACATTAGTCGAGTTAGAGATTAAAAACGATCATTTGTTTCCATTAAGTCCACTTAATCCCGATCAAGCGAAACGATTGGCCATAGCAATTGAATTGCAAACACCACGAATTAAGCTGGCTTATAATACTACGTTTATTAATTAACAATTCAAACAGATGTTGCAGAAATTATAAAATTATCATCTCAATTGAAGCTTAATTTATTAATAAAAAGTAGTCAGAGTGTCTTAACCGTTCGTTTAAAAGATCTTAACTAAAAAGTTAACTTTGTTCGGATGTTCTACTTCAAAAGTATTAAATGTTTACTTACTGGTGTAGGAGGCTGCATCGGGAATCGAAGAAGTAAGTAGGATTGTCCCCAATAGGGCAGCCAGTGTAGAACTGGACAACATTCTCTAGAATGAAAAATATTTTTCGTTTCATAATATAACTTTATATGTAGATGTCATTAATACTGCTTGTAACATCGTGTCGCTTTCAGTGTTAAAATATTGATTAAACAACAACGTGCATTGATTTAAAAATAACGTACATAGAAAAAGGTCAAAGAGAATTCTGCAGCCATGCTACGCAACATTTTGTAGAGTTTAACGTCGGAAATGCCACGAGTATGCATCTTTTAATGATTTCATTATAATTTTAATTGAAGTAATAAAACGAAAGAAACGATAATCATTTATATCAAATTAACTTCAACGTTAATTTTAATTTGAATCGCAGGAACGAATAACGGAAATAACTAGATTTCATATTTAACCAGGAATTGTAGTCTGTAAATAACCTGTCAAGCAAGTGTCTCTTTCCTCGTCTGTCCTTGTCTCGCGCTTTCTAACCTCACTCGTCATACAGAGTACATACCTAACCTCAACTCCGGACTGAATTCCGCAATAACAAATGACGCGTGTATTTCTCGGCCACGTATAAAAATCGTACTAGATTGCTGTCAATTTAGATACACGACACTCGGAAACATTGGTGGCATTCAATTTTGTGATCTTTCAATCACGAGTGACCTTGACAAATCACAGACGAATCGTAACTGCGTCGTTCGTTTCCACGCCTCACACCGCTTTGCACTGTTACCTGCCTGTCACGTACAGGTAATCAGACCGCGAATTTTCAAACAAACGCGATATATATTAACAAACGGTGGAAAGCTTACCGTGAAAAATCTCACTTGCACTTGTATGCACAAACGTCCGTTCCAACACGTAGCCAGTATAACACTGAACATTCAGCGAAATACTGTATCGCTAGTGGCTTGACGTTGGCGTCAGTCGAACAAAGATGGACGGCGAAGTTTCACGCGAGAGACAAGAAGGTGGTGATACTCCGAAAAGGAGGCCGATATAGCATTAAACGTGACGTAAAAAAAAGAGTATAGAATACCATGTTCGGTGTAAATAACCGTTTCAATGGTCGTAAGAAAGAAAAGGGAAGCTTTACGATTCACTTTCGAGAATACATCGCACGGTGAGTACGTATAACAAACATTGATCTGTCGATTAAATAACGAACCTATTTCGAGATATTTAATCCATTGGATTTAGATGCGCAAATTTTGTTCTTCACTGGTAAAGCATGTAACTCGTGCGATATTCCAATAACAGAAAACTCCTTGGTAACAATGTTTTCGAAGTTTTACCAGCAGTTGAAAATAAGTTTCGCTAGTTTTAAGAATCGAATGAAGGGAACGTATCGATAGCAAACTCGAGGCAACGGTTGAATCATAGGAGTCGACATTGCAACTTCATGACGTCACTATTCGTTGGAAAAAGAACTTTTTTTTAATTTAAGACTACGATCAAAGGAAATATTCTTACTTCACGTTTCTTTTTAAACATTCTCGTTTTTATGTCATTTTTAATTCTATCATTTCATAATTTTTGCTTAAAATTGTTCAGTGTAGATCTTGTTATATAACCTATCTCACATACTATGTGCATAAATATTATACGCATAATTATAGCTTTTACAGAAAGATTTCCGCAATGACACATTTCCATGACAATTCATTTCCTGTTTATTCTGCGTATTGCAGCATAAGTTAGAGTTGCCATTCCATAAATACGCGATACACGAATGCAATAAAGAGAAAAAAATCTTAAAAATTATCTTATCTCAGTCAGTACTGAATAAGCTCAAAGTTTCATTGTAATATCTATAATTCATTCTCCTATTAGACATATAATATAAATTTACGATTCTATAAATTTTGTTTTTACAACGAAAGAATGTGACATCATATAGTTACCTATAAGAGACGAAAATTCATCTCGTATGTTGGAAATTGTGATCCTCTCAAAGAATGATCTTCGAGTATTTCTCGTATACTTTTGTTATTTTTGTTATTTTTCATATCTTATATTCTCCGAGAAACAAGAAGATGTTGAAAGACCGTTGTAATAATTTATCGTCATTGGTCATTTCAATATCTTGTACGTGTCGTTTTAATAATTTTGTCCTGCTACTTGCACTAATATTATCTTTTGTAATTACACCGGTGAATTTCTTAGCGGTGAAGTTGGGGTCGAAAAGCGTAATTAAAAAGGCTTGTTAAACGAACGATTACCAACAACCATTAAAGTTACTAAAATCAAATATGCATAACTTAATCATCAAACTCGGTAGAACGAAATGTACATAACTTAAAACGTGGGAATTTCACTTTCTACGCGATTACAATTTTCTCTCTCTCTCTCTCTCTCTCTCTTTCCTTTTCGCAATTTCTCCCTTCCGACTAACAACAAGATTTGAAAAGTTCCGAAGCAGTTTCCCGTGATCGATAACATCTTTCACGTTACATCTTCAGTTTAGCAATAATCAAAGGAAATCGTCCCGGTACAATTAGGTAGAACATCGTCTGACATCGTGATCCTTGGATCGTGCAACTTCTCGAATTCAACGTGTTTCGTGAAAAACGTGATTCATCCGACTGCCCGCTGCATTTCCAAACTCTCGTCGAAACAGCTTCCGTAGTCACGTTTGCCAAGAAATCTCATCGACAAGGAGTTTCGTCAAACTCTCACGTGTCGGAACGTTTCATCCTTGCAGAGCAGCCCACTGCAGCTCGTCCGAGCTTTTCGTGCTTTCAGTGGCAGGATGTTCGATCTGGAGACTGCGCAAAGGTGCTCGCTAGTAGGGGATAGAAACCCTTGGATGGAGGGAATCCGGGGGAACTTTCATAGAAACCCTTTTCCAGGATGAACGCTTCGGTGGTGGGTTACTCTCACAGTCACGCGCATTGAGGTCGTTTCCCTTTCCTCTCTCTCTCTCTCATACACATGTACAACCTCACGCATGCTACTAAAATACATCTCCTCTATCTTTTTTCATTGTTTCCTTTCAATTCTACGTTTACTCGCAGCACACGCTGCGCCGCACACGCTTTCCACCCTTCCGTCCAATAGATTTCATATCACGAATCCCGCTCATCTTTTATACTCATCTGCATAGAAACCATGAGATCGCGTATTTTTTTTTCATTCCAGTCGGCCAATTTCTAAGAAATTACAAGTAGCCTCTTGTTTTATCTTTTTCTAGTTCCCGAATTCTATCCGCAGTACAGTGGATATTTTTATTTTTTTTTTTTTTTTTTATCTTACATGTTCAACCCTCGTTTTCTTAATGATGAACTTTGATGCATCTTTCGTTTCCGGTATCTGACACGTTTCACTTTCTTAATTTTCACGAGTTTTTTCATTAGTCCTTTCCTCGTACACAAAAGACTCTGGCACACACGTGTCTCTTGTTCTATTATCGACAAAATTCTATCGCCAACGATTTCCGATTGCCCGGAAATTTTCAAGATTATTTTCCCCCGTGTTCTCGTTCTATCAGCCGCGTAATCACCGCCGCTGTATCGCACAGTCGTCTTTCGCCGAACGAAAGCGGCAAAGTGAAGTCCAAAGCTACCTTTATCCTTTGTACCTGTTCCTCCGAGATTTCCCTGCGTTTCTCCCGCGTGTATGCGCGCGCGTCGCGCCGCGCTTTCGAGAGGGTGCTGCGCGGTCGACGGGCGTCGTCCGGTAGTCGAATTCGTCGCTTCCCCGAGGCAGGTGGGCTTGTTCCATCGGCTGACGAACCGACGCTCTTTCCTCCACGGTGATCCTCGCAAAATCTCCTAGCAGAACTGACCGACCCGAAGAGTGGGGACAGTGCAACCCCCCGGATTGCTTTCTTCTCGGACAGGCGATTCAGTGTTGCTTCGCGGTACACGAGTTTCACGTTAACGATCGAGGAAACGCGGTACTGCGAGTGTCGCAGCGCCGTGTGGACTCTGCTGCAGTCAGTGATTCTCGTCAGAGAATACCGAGAGCGAAGGCGGTGATAAGAAAAGGGATGATCGTAGGTGCGCGCGTGAGACGAGATTCTTACGGCTCCTGATGAACAGTTCGCTATCCGGTGAAGAAAGACTGAGAGATCGGTGCGCTGGCTCGTCGAAGAACTTCAGGTATGTTTGAAGAGCGTCGCATCTACGATGACGATAAACGTGTTGATCCTTTTCAACGTCGATTTTCTCTCTACCTCGAGAGATTATTCTTTTTCAGTACACTACTACTGTACACCAACGTAACGCAATGCTGAAATTAGACGAAAAAGAAAAAAAAAAAAAAGAAAAAAGAAAAAGATTAGAATGAAATCCTCTGCCGCGTGCTGGTACATACATCCTTCTGGCGTTCGTTTCTCTCTTCCTTTTTTCTTTCCGGAGGTTTATTTTCTTGCAGAGTTTTTAGTTACCGCAAACCGCTTCGCCGAATGCCGACTGAATAAATACGGCTTCCCGTGTAAACGTTTCAGGCGAGGTTTACCGTTGTACAGGTGTTTAAGTGAAAGCTTTCGGGTTCTCTTGTTTGATCCTTCTCGCGAAAATCTTCCCTCGGAGTGACTTATGCTTCGTTTCCTTGTATTCTTCCGCTCTCGACGTACTCAAGAATTGTTTTTAGCAAAGAGGTTTCAATAAACAAAACGATTGAAACGGTGGAATTTGTTTTCAGTTTTTCTCCTCTCCCTTTTTTTTTTTTTTTTTTTTTTTTAGTATCACATGGACGGTAGTTCTCTGAAATTCCACTAGAGACGAGTATCTGTTACCATTAATATAGTGATATTTATGAGCTTTATGGTACACCGTAAATGACGTTTCGTCGAGGTATTTTAATTAGGATTACCGGGGCTTTAAGAATTCGACGAATTTTCCAAGTAACTTCCAACTCTTATTGTCACTCGCAGGCAATTCCTTCCTTCGTTTTACGCATTTCAAAGTAGGAAGGAATTTCCTCGGTTGAAAATTCCATGCAAATTATACTCTTTCTCTTCTGCGCGAAAATTTTCGAAATTTTGATTCCATTCTGTAATTTTTGTACAAATTCGAGCTGATTGAAATATTGCTACGGACAATGTTGATATTTCGATGGATCTTTGATGAATTCGACATCGTTTTCAAACGATGATGTTTAAAAACAATTTATGAATAAGCAAACACTTTAATATTCGAAAAAAATGTTCGAGAGGATTATCGATAATCCTCTCAATAAGCTGAACACGCATCGTTGCAGCGCGTTATACGGCCGTGTCGAAAATTAGAAAAAAAAAAAAAAAATAATAAACAAATAAACTGTACAAATAAATCGCAAATCGATCAGCGAGCAAACGGAATAATAAAATCACTTGTTGTTACGTTCTGATTTCGAACTCTCGGAAATGAAGGGGAAATACTAATGGGAAAATTCGAAAAAAGTGAATTATAAAATCGAGAGCTTACTTTTATTCGGCGTTTTTTCATCGTACGGTTGAACAACATCTAGCCAACTCGTATTATTTTACATGACAAAGTTGATATTGTATCATATGAAATCCATTATTGTATCATATTAAAGGACGATGGAAACTAAATGGTACGAAGTTGAAATTACCTTATATTTGCAGTTGCCTATAAACATGTATTTATTGTTTATTTATTGTTTATGTTACAATAATAAATCGAACAATGTAAGAATTTTTAATTAATGTATTAATTGGTTACACACAAATGGATACGTTTGTAATTTACACAGCCGCGTACAGGAATTTCCATCCCTTTAATTGAGAAAGATAAAATTACTAAAATTCCGCATAAAGAAACAATTTCCGCGTTGGTTTCATAATTAACTCGTTCTAAACGAGTGCTCTTTATTTTTATAACAATTCTACTTCCCTACTTGGACAAACTGACAAGTAGAAATTCTCGATAATTCGATGGAAAATGAAAATTTATTCTCAAGTTGAGAATCTATTCGATTACGAGTGCGAAACGAATTTGATGTTTATTGAATTTTCTCAATTACCGATAATTAACGAGTATGACAATTTTAACTTGTAGCTCGCAGCCTGTTTTCGGCGCGTGGAACTCTTGGAAATTGTTCATTTCCCGTGCTATGTACAGTGACAAATTCGTATCGACAAGTCGCACCTTGCACCTTGGTGTATGTATATCCGTTTGTGTTATATTGATTTGTTTATAAAATGTAAATAAAATTCGAAGAGAATATATCCGCGTGTACGCGTCGCTCGCGATTTATCCCTTTGAAACTGAAACAATCCCCATTTTACATTACTGCAATACCCTTTTGCAATGCATTTTATTTTTATTCGAAACTTCGTATTAAACTTCACCGTTGTTGTGCGTTGCAGGATTTTCAATGTGAATTTTTCCCAACCTGTGACAATCCTACTGCAATTGCAACTAATTGCGCTGGACAAGGAAGCTCTTTTGCATCCTATAGCTTTACAAGGAGCGGGCAAGCATTGCGATGCAATTTATGCGTGGACGAATCTTCCCGTTCCAGTTAAATATTAAATAAAAGGG